TTTAAAATTAGCTGAACTAATTAATTATTCTATTTTTTTAATATTTTGTTTTCAGAGAAAACTTCCAACATTGTAATGAACTATGTTAAAATATACCTGTTTATAATGAGTAAAAACAAAAAAGCTAACTTTAGTCAGTATGAAAGCAAAATTTATGAAAAAACCTAAAATATAAATAAGTGATTGATGCAATGCGATGTCATTGCAAGAACTTTATCTCCTCTCATTCATGTTGAAAGCCAAAATTTCAAGAATTTTTGAATATTTCTGATCCTCAAAGATTCCATCTAGAAAACAACTTTCAACTTAAAATTTGGAAACAATGCTTTAAATGCTGCTTTTGGTAAAGTTCTAAATTTCCACTATACAAACGTTGAACTTACTTTATTATTTTTTTGTAATTTTATAGCATGTAATTGACAGTAATCAAATAGTAATGTAATTACTTTTGATAAAGTAATCGATTGCAATCGATTACATACAAAAATCAGAGTAATCGATTATTAATCGATTAGTAATCGATTACACAAAAATCCTTCATGTAATTAATCGATTACATTTGTCAGTAATATTGCCCATCTCTGTTGTGTATCACCTTCACTTGTGATCCAATGTATGGATCTGTCGTAGAGTTGATTGCTAACGGCGTATTTGTTAGTGCTAAACCAGTTTAAGGTTAATAAACTTTCAATTTGTTGGTGAAAACCAGTTTGAAACTAGTTTGAAACCTAAACTGGTTTACCGTTTGTTATTCACAAACCAAAACTGGTTCCGTAAACCATTCAAACCGCATCTGTAGGCGGGTTGGGGTTAAGGTTTAAGGTTTTAAAATGGCAGCAATTTTAATGCAATGTGGCAGATGTGACAAAATTTATGCAGATTCAGATGCTTTCAATGACCATGACAGTTATCTTAATGAATTGTTCTACACAATTACTTGTTGTTAATTCTAAACACTATTTGTTTTGTTCATTCTTTTGTTATTTTTTTTAGTCTGACAGAAGTCTTTTTGTATTTGCAATTTAAAAACACTTTAGATTCTTTACCAATTTGGAAAATACTGAGATGTGGAATAAATGTCCATGAGTTAACTTGATCCAATTAAACAGCAAAATGTCAAGCCTTACTTGAAGCTGTGAAGTAAATTCAAATGACCTACAAGTACAAGAGCAACATCTACAATTTTTAAAGTTTGTGATTAGGTCATTTTAATGGGAACCATTATACATATGTTTACTAGTTCAGTGGTATTTGGTATATATGCAGTTGCATTAAGATAAGCACAACTCATTTCCATGGAAATAGTTAGGCCCCTATTTACAATCGGTCTATATATATGAAAACTGAAACTCAGAGTTTGTGATTAGGCAAGTGGATGGGGAACCACTATTGACAAGTCATTGATATTGGTATGCAGTTGGCACATCTCATTTCAAAGGAGATAACTATAATGTGACTCTGTGAGTCTGTCAGCATCTTATCTATAATTTGACATTTTATAATTCATAGACTTTGGTTAAATTTTATGGCTAAATTTTAGGCAAAAATCGTGATAACTCCTACAGCATTTACTCTATACTAAATTCTATGGAATGTTTTTGTCATTTATTTTCACATGGAAAGATTGTCTACAATTGTATATCTCTTCGACTCTGCAGTGTCAGAAGGATTATGTACCTCAAAAAGGTTATTTATTTCTTCCATATCCCTGGCACCTTCTCATTCATGTCATCATTTTGCAAGAGGCATAGCTCATGTAGCACGCAACAGGTCAAATTGACTTTAACCGCTTTATTCAGGTCTAGCATATCAATAAATGTGAGAAGGTGGAATCTTCCTATTAGGGCTCCAAATGAATGTTCAATCACCATCCTAGTGCTGCTGTCGATAACGTTTTTGATTTCTGTTGAGGTTGCCATAATTAAAAGGTGTCATCAACCATGTAGTAAGGTAATAAGCAGAATCACCCAGTAGATGTGTATTACTTGGGAACATCTCATCAGTGTTGTTTTCAATAACTCCATAAATTGGTGAGTTTTTTAATACACGAGAGTTGTGAACCAACATCTAAGAAATGTATATCACTATCACAAATCCCCTGTAGATTTATTGAATGGAAAGATTTGCTGTTTATGTAGTTCTTGCGAAACTCTCTAGGTGTGTGAATAGGAATGTGTGTCCTGTCAATTGCACCCTGCACACCAGGAAATCTCCTTTTCTCTTTAAACTTCTGTACAATTCTAGGAAACTGGTTTCTACTAGGCCATGTTATGTATTTTGATGGAAGTTTTTCACATATCACAACAGCAAGATCTCTAACAATCTGAAATACTGAGTACTTACAAACTCCGTAAATGTCCGCAATTGCTTGTAGAGTCATCTGACTTGAGACATACTTAATGTAAATAAGAACCTGTTTCTCTTTTGTTATGGATCTAGAGTCCTTAATAAAGCCTTTTAACTCCCCTACCAGTCTACGGAAAGTTGTCGGATTTATCCGAAAACATCTTCTAAACTCTTCTTTGCTGTAAGTTGAAACCACAATCAGCATAGTTGAGTACCTGTGGAATATGAGCTCTGTTCTTCATAAGTAGAATGCACAATAGAATTATGTTGTAGCTGTTTAAGATTGTGGCATGAGATGCAAGATCCTCGTCATCTTCATTCATAAGGTCAAACAGCAGAGCAGAAACAAGTTAATATCTGACGCCATATTTTACAATAAACTTTACATTTGTTGAAAAAAATCTAAAACCTAAACCAGTTTTGAAACCTAACCCTAAACTAAACAAAACCAGTTTAAAACCAAAACCGAAAACTCAAACCAGTTTTGCTGTAACAAATACGCCTTTGAAGATGTATGGGTTTTGTTATTTATTGAATGCCGTACGGCGATCAAACATGTACGTCATTTGGTCTCGGATGGATAGTTGTCTCATTGCAATTCTTACTGCATCTACGTATATTTATTAAATATTACTATGTGCTTTCTTATGTCCTTTTGTTTTCAGAATAAAACTACTTTTAAAGAAAATAACTTTTGAAATGCCTTAATGTATTACACTCGTGATTTCTTTATACATGCGTGTTCCATAATTATTACATCTTAAACGTACTGTAGACGACTTATTTTTCTCGAGCGATGTATTTTCGCGAGTAGAAGATCAACGTTAACGTCAAATTATTAAGGGGACGACCATTTGATATTCGGTATTCGGGGGGGGGGGGGATTTGTTTTTGATCTGTTATTTATTTTATTTTTGTGTGGACTAAAAGGACAGATTATTTATTTTCTACACTGATGAAGCATGATTTTTTTATTTTCATTAAAACAAGGGACTGATTATTTATTTTCACAATTATATTTATAATATTTGAAAACACACAATTTTTAAATTCATTTTTTTATTTTTTAATAAATAATACATGTACATGTATGGTCAATTCATTATGTACCATTAAATCAGAATAAATCCTCCACCTCTGGAAATGAATCTTCTGAATTCCAACCTGCATATATTGTAAATATGATAAGGTATTAAAGTTTGACTGTAACTAGCCTCTTTTAAAAGTAATGTCAAAAGTTTTCGGTGAAGGGTTTGGGGCTGCTGAAGGCCCCAAGACGCTATATAAATAATGATGCAAATCGTGCATTCTGCGCGTTTCCCAGGCCTTTTCTTAATCTGAAACACAAGTTCTGTTTTAATGAATTTTTCGGCCTCAAAGCAAAGTATATGGATTCAGTGTAGGACTTTTAGTTTTTAGGGACAACATCAAAAGACCAATATGTAGGATAAAGCAAAAAATGTAATTCACATAGTTAAGTATGTGGCTACTGCTTTTTTTTATCGTTTTTTTTTTTTTTTTTTTTTTTGTGTTTTGGCTTGCAGAAAATCTTTTATACCTGTCAATTATGTGGGTCTTTTTCAAATTAAGTTAAACAAGGGGCTGATTATCATTGATATAACTATGTCAAGTTAGTTTTTATAACATATTTTTAATTACAACTTGATGTAGTTTCTAACTGGAAACAATTTAAAGTAGTGTGTAAAATAAGATAAAAAAGGCCTTAAATAAAATAAAACTCAAGTTTAAAAACTAAATTACTAAATTGCAATTGGAATGCAACACCAAGAGAATAAAGAAGGGCAATCAATGAACAAAAGACAAACCCGGGAACAGATAAAACACTAAACGACAAACAATAGACAAATAACACTGAAAACTAAAAATAAATGAGAAACATGGATCCCTAAAAACGGGGACTACGTCAGAGGGTGAACAGAACTTGCTTCTTGCAAAACACTCGCCCTGAAAACAATTTGATATGAAGACAAGCTTTTGTTTTTTGAAATTTCCTGCATAAGACAGTTGCCTCAATGTAGTATTGGCCCTGTATAAGTGAGGTAAAAGTTCCTGAGACAATATACCTCAAGTTAAATGAAACCCATTTTCAGACATTTCAAGTACATAAATATTTATACATTGTATTATTAAAAGATTTGAGAAGTTTTTCCCGAAAAAAATATGAAAAAAGACGAATTTTGGAAGAATCTGATGCCATCTCATACTTTAGAATAGCATTTTCAAAATGGCTTAAAAGACCTGCCGAGTTATTTATTTTCAATACATAGTAAGTCAGCTTATTTATTTTTTAACTACCACACAACAAACCATTCATTTTTGTTATTATCAAGGCTGAGGTATCTTTTTTTCAAAATGTTCGTTGTGATACAAATTTTAATGTACTAACATATTAGCCATACACCAATATACTTACAAGGTTGAATATATGTTCAGAAGTTCCTTAGGCAAAACATCCGAATGTTTATATTGTGGCAATGTTTGTCATTAAACCCACTTAACACAATCATGTCCAACTTAACCAAACTATGACAAAAATCACTGTACTAAACGTTCATCGATATGACAACGTTACTACCCTCGATTTATATAAAAAAGATATGATCAATGTGTATTTATGCTTATTATTTACTTACATTAGAGTTCACAATACATATTCCCTCAGAATAAGTTCATTTCGATCGATCAGTCTTCTTTATATTATATTCAAATCTTTAACCTTATTTGTAAATTTACTATTGTATCAGCAAGGGTAGAATATCTAAATTAAGATGACCGGTTTACTATTTAAAGAACACCTGTAAATTTTACAAAAATCCCCTTGCTCTATATCTTAAATAGAAAATAAAATTCCTAATATCTATTTTGGTATAAATAAGACGCAAATATATATATATTTATTTATGAAATGACTGAATAATAGCCAACGATAAATCTTACAGGGCAATGGATGGATCATATAATTATGATACCGTACACTACAAAATATAATATATAACAAGTCTAAAAGGGTACAACAACACCAAAAAATAATAAAATGAATAAATAAATATTTCGGATAACAGATATCCTTCATCAGTGTGATTATGATGTAACATGAATCATATCAATCTATTCTGATTGAACTATAACAATCTTGAAATTTATACAATAAAACAGTTGAAACTGAACACAAAGACGCTAGTACAATTCTAAATTCCAAAAATGACGTAGGTTATATAGCTATTTACAACAGAGACTGCAAAGATATGCGTCAGATAGAAATAGTAATGTGCGATATGAACTGGTACGACTCTGAAATTTCAAAGGTGACGTCAGTTCAGATGTTACAACAACGATTGCGTAGAAATACATTCCCAAGAAACAGCACAGACCGATCTAAGCTGGTATGTTATTTCAAATTTGACAATGGTAGAGTAATTACAACAGAGGCTGCGTATTTAAACATCCCAAATAAATAGCAGCTGGAAAATAATTAAAAAAAAACAATAATAAATTTTGACAAAGGTTAAATCGCTGAACGTGACTGCGTACTTGTTCATCCCTCTAAAATGAATAGAACCCTGCAAATTAAAACTGGTACAATTCAATTTTTTTTTTAGAGTTGGCATAGGTAAAGAAACAGTTCAGTTTGTGTTGTAATAGGAGTTTCTCTTCTACAGTGTTCCGGAGATTTCCTTGACAACTATATTTATATATATTTATATATGTAAGTCTACATTGAAACCACGTTCAAACCTATGATTGCGTTGGATAAAAACCGCAATTATTATACGTGTGCATGCAAAACAAATTTTTTGGTAGAGGGGTCTAAATACAGCATAAACAACATTTTCCAAAAGACCAAAAAGTGAAAAAGTATATTTAACAAAACGCATTTGACTTACAGGTCGAACAACGGATGTTCTTAAACCCTGCTGACTGCCATTGGCGATTGCCAAATAAACGCATCACAAGATGTAACAGAATGGATCTTTATTATTTATATATGTATGGTCCGTGTATATTTGCGTCCATTCGTTTTTCGTTTTGAAATATCAAAAACAAAAAAACAAAAACCGAAAGTGTTTTCATTTTTCGTTTTTGATTTCTTAAAAACCAAAATGAAAAACAAAAGTGTTTTCGTTTTTCATTTTTGATTTCTCGAAAACCAAAACGGAAAACGGAAGTGTTTTCATTTTTCATTTTTGATTTTTCAAAAACCTAAATGAAATTCAATATCGGTCCGTGGTCAGTGTATATTTGCGTCCATTCGTTTTTCATTTTGAAATATCAAAAACAAAAAACAAAAAACGAGAGTGTTTTCATTTTTCGTTTTTGATTTCTCAAAAACCAAAACGAAAAACAAAAGTGTTTTCATTTTTCGTTTTTGATTTCTCTAAAACCAAAACGGAAAACAAAAGTGTTTTCATTTTTCGTTTTTGATTTCTCTAAAACCAAAACGGAAAACGAAAGTGTTTTCATTTTTTGTTTTTGATTTCTCTAAAACCAAAATGAAAATCAAAAGTGTTTCCGTTTTTCGTTTTTAATTTCACTAAACAAGAATTTTGTATTTAATTTTAATTATTTCTCGTTTTATAATGTACAATGTTTTCCTTTCTTGTTTCACAGTCATTGATAGTAAATAATGCCAATGTAAACACCCCGGTGTTCTTTCAACATAATGTAGACAAAATAGACCGCCTGACTTATGAATTGAACTACGATGATAAATGAATCAAAGCCTTTCAAATTACCGTGTTTATGTCTTTAATAAAAAATAAATTATTATATTTAAATATTAAACGAATCATAAATTTAAATTGTACAATATAATATTATATAAAGATGGTACAAATAAATAGATTGATTGCAACATCACATTAACAAGGGAGGTTACTACTTTTAAAAACTTATTAGAAAACTACCCCGGTCGTTAAAGTATACATGCACAGTCACTGTGGTTATCAGATCTTTAATCGAAGATAATGTCGACGGATGCAAAAGACTGTATCAATCTGAACAATAAGGGTGCGTGATCTTTACTTTTAAATTTAGAAAGGTTGATCTCAGATGATTAGAATTCATGACCAAGGTCTATTATACGAACATTCAGGACGATAATGTGTTTTGCTTGATCAATTGATTGAAAAACAAATTTCCGCTATTTCACAATTCAAACCGGGATTAGCATTCAATCATTTTGCCATTCGGAGCCTACTCGGTATTAGTTTTGCTTATTTTTGAAAGCTATATAGTGACCTTAACTAGAGCCTGGGTGTGGATGGGGGTTTACGGAATAGAGAATAGTGGGCAAAAAAAATAAATAATAGAGACAATGGACCAAGAAATAAAAAAATATAGAATAATGAGGTGTTAAAATATAAAAAGAATAGAATAATTGGCAAAAAGTATAAAGAAATAAACATGATAAAGAATAGAGAAAAATGGCCTGAAACACTGATTAAAGAATAGAGAAAAATGGAATAGAATATCAAAGAATACAGAAATGAAGAAATACGCATCCAGACCATCATACTAGTTGCCTAAACCAACGATATTTTGTCTCCGGTAGAATGTTATTGGTTTTCATACGTTTTCTTTTTATTTCTATGCCTATCAATTAAGACATGAGCTTTCATAATTTGCCAGCTTATTACATTATAAAAAAAGACTAAGCCGAACATCACTCTGGATTTTTTCTCAAGTAGACCTCAGCTACCCACCCTACCACACCATTACCGAAAAGTTAATAAAAAAAATCTACGGCAATACTTTTGTCCGCACTAGATGTAAAGGGAAGCTGGGGACCTGAGGTCTTCTGGGAAAAAAATCTAGGGTGTAGGATAAAGCAAAACATTGTAATCCACATAGCCAAGTGTGTGGCTGTTGTTTTCAGGTATGAATGGTTCTTTTCCTCGTTGCAGACCCTCCAGCTACTTTCAAGATGAAGAACAGGAATACAAGCCCTGTTCATTGATAATTTATATTTTTTCTATGTATTGTGTGCGATTTTGTCCCATGCACATCTCTTTATTTTCTATGTTAGGGCCTAAACACGGCTCAATGCTAGTTTAGCCCTTCAATATTAAAGGTCATATGTTACATTATTGTTTCGGATAAGAGTGAATTTGGTACCTATTAAAACGTTTAAACCTGCATTTGTTTGCACCTGTTCTAAGTCAGGAACCTGATGTTCAGTAGTTGCCGTTTGTTGATGTGGTTCATAAGTGCTCTCGTTTCTTGTTTATTATATAGATTATACCGTTGCATAGTTTTCCCGTTTGAATGGTTTTGCACTGGTCATTTTGGGGCCCTTTGTAGCTTGCTGTTCGGTGTGAGCCAAGGCTCCGTGTTGAAGATCGTACTTTGACCTATAATGGTTTTTCTTTTACAAATTGTGACTTGGATGGAGAAATGTCTCATTGGCACTCATACCACATCTTCTTATATCTATATATGGTCTTTTTAAGTGAATTGGGAGATTAGGATTTCTAGCTTTAATCTCACCCATGTCAGCCTTATATGTATTTACAGAAAAGAGAGCTAGTTTTGTATTCTTTAATATGCTGTTACAGTTTAATTTTCCATGAAAAAGGACAGTTTTTTCTATGTCCGGTAGCATCGTATCATATCTGGACATCGGCTGTTGTCTGCTCTTTGGTCGGGTTGTTGTCTCTTTGACATATTCCCAAATTTCCATTGTCAATTCTATTATCGGTAGGCATGTGAAATTGCCAAACCATACACGACCGTTCATTAGTCATCGTAGATCTATTACAAGTCTTAATAAATCTACACAAAGCAGAAAAGGAACTTTTACAACAAGGAATATTACACAACTGTAGCCATAGTCATAAAGATCGATTGACTGATTGGTGTTCCTTTAACGTCGCCGCAGAACATAAAATTATTACCTGATCTTCATTCTCAACATCTTCAATCTCTATTGTTCCCAAGGAAGCAACCATTTGATTCTCTGGGGTGGGGCAGGGATTTGTACCCGAAGTCAATAAATTTTTTTAACCCAGACTGAAAAACATGCCTTTATCAATGGCCACACACAAACACAATAATATTTTCAAGATTTATTAAAAAAAATTTTTGTTTACACTTTTATATTTTTATGTTGTTTTGAGATATTAATTTGACTTGAATTTATACGAATTTACTAAATATACATGTTTATACCAAGCCAAGTCCGTTTATATCTTGTTTCTCGCCTGACTATACAAAAGGCCAGGAGAGCTTTGGCCATCATTTGTCGTCTTTGATAGATATGGTTGACTGATAAGCTGTCTATATAAAGTAATGGGACAATGGCATGAAGACATCACCAAATCACCATATACAATACACAAAAAGACACCTAGAGCTTACCCTATGGTCTTCAACTACCCACCAACAGGCAGTAAGCTCTGGTTGGCCTTAAACACAAATCCAAGGGCACAGCAAAATGAGAAAATATCCAATTAAAACTGGGTGACCTGGGAGGAAAACATTGGAACTTTCTTAAGATATACAAATTTCACCCCACCCCCTCCCCCCTCAACAATTTAATAAGGAGATGTGGTATGATTGCCAATGTGACAACTATCCCCAAAGTTCAAATGAAGTGGACGTAAGCAATTATATATAGGCAACCGTACCACCTTCAACAATGAGAAAAAAACCAGTAGGGTGTAGTCGGCTATGAAAGGCTCTGA